TGTGTTCAAACACTGCAGGTCAGTAGGCTTCCACCTTCCACAATGTGAGGTCTGCACACGTGTGCCTGAGTGTGGGAGGGGACTGTTCATAACTTTACTACCAATTCTCTGACCTCCTGTGCTCTTACATTCTCCTGGGTTCCTCTTAGTCTCCTCTCCATCTGCGCATATTTTCTCCATCAGCTAAGAGTGTTAGAGAGCCAATGTCAACTCTTCCATTATATTCTCACATCCGGTATCTTTGCATTGTATTTATGGGGCTCACAGTGCTTGACACAAACACCGCAAGCTCTGACCAGGACAAGAATGGGTTTTCTTCATCATTACCGAGCAAAATCAGCACTTGGAGCTGAAACATCAATGGGTACCTGTCCCCATCCCCAGTGCTGATCAGGTCTCCCAGCACCCTTGCTCTTTGCAACTTCTCCCAGTTGTAACAGCTTCAGTCTTCTTATCACTGAGCCAGGGGTGGGCAGGTGGGGAGGCACGGGAGCATCCTAGGCGAGAAGATGACAAATGTGCTTCTGACTTGAATCTCCAGGATTTTTTCCAATGTACATATTTCATAAGTTATTAACCTGTGATCCATTTTCTAAACTCTGAAATTGTTTTCACGGTCAGTTTGTCCTCTTCACTTAGTCCTACTAAGATAATTTTATACTTTAGTGTCCAGTGCATAACATTATATTATAATTTGAAAGCTTCTATAAAGGAAGAAAAGATGAACTTTTATTTGCTTTTACAGAATTAATTGAGTATAAGAACTTGTATTTGACTTCTAATGAAATTTATTTTCTCATAGTTTTTGTCGAAATTACTCTCTTATACTATATGGATTAGAGGCTCCCAGAAAAGCCATCATAGTTCATCTGTGCAGCCAAAAGCCTTAACATTTTCTTCCAAAGTGTAAGTTTCTTGACAACTTTGTATTTTATGCCTTAAAGGATTAATCTTTGAAAGAAACAGAGCAATATGTGTAGAATCAGATAAACAGAGTTGTTGATGTTTTTCCATAGAAGAATAGTATGGGAAATATTCAGATTGACGTATATAACTATTAGTCAAGTTAATGGCTTATTCAACAAAATACCCTGGTATATATTGTTAAGATTAATGAGGTATAATTCTTTCTATTTCAGGTTGTCATTATCTTCAGAGAGTGACAAGAAATGCCCATATTTCCCTTTTTATTTTAAACAAATTAGTTTTGCACCCTGCTTTGGAATGAGACTGTATGTTTGTAAGCACCAGGCATGTTAGTTGCTTCATTTTGGCATAATGCTATTTCATCATTTATAAAGAATACATCTCTCATTACTTTAAAAGCCATACAAGTACTGATGCATAGGGGCACTTGTACCCCAATGTTTATAGCA